AAGGCGAGCAAATTCACATTTCAATTTGGCCGCCTGCAGCAGATTACCAAAGACCTGGTGCTGCTAAATCATTTGATAATGTCGTTGCCAATAAAATTAGATGTGGTGCTCAATGTCTTGAAGGGAAATGTTTTGGTGTTGTTTGCTCCTCATTTGTTGACAAGGCAATGCTTGAATTTTTGGTCGATGATGACCCATCAAATAAAGAGTTCTATGAGAATATGTCACAAGGTGCTACTTTCTTTTTGGATCCTGCTGCTATGGAGATTGGTGATTTTTTGAAAGATGAGGAAGGTATCGCCTATGCTGTGTTTGACCTCAATAAAACTATTGTACCAAAGCAATTTCACGATCTAGTTGGTGGGTATAATAGATTCGACGTGTTTAAATTACGTGTAAACAGAGCTCCAAATGTTCCTATTGAGTTTGAGGATTCGTTTACAGATGAATAATTATGTCGCGTCCACGAAAGGAAGAAAATCGAAAATGAAGTTCTACATTGGTGGATGGCTAAAAAACGCTACCACCAACGGAAGTATACATTGTAGGCAGACCACCAACGTAGAGTCACACTCTAGGCAGACCACCAAAGGAGGCTTCCCTTCAAGGTCAGCCACCAAACTACACTCACTTCCTAGGCTGACCCACAATGTAGAATAGTACAAATTACTAGATTATTCCCAATGTCCTATGAAGTAACAATTTTTACTGGGAAAAAAGTGTGCTTTGCTCGACACCAGTTCATACAAAAGCTTCTAGCTCATCTTGCTCGTCTTCAACCAATGTAATTGGGTAACAGCTACACCTCTTTGCCCCAAAACGTATGGTACTTACATTGGTGGTTGGTGTTGAAAACTCGCGACCACCAAAGGAAGTGTACTTTCTCAGATCAAAAAATTTGTTAGTGGACCATCATCCAACAACGTAGTAAATCAGGTTTAACTGCCCAAACACTTTCAAAATCCCATTACACACCTAAAAAAAGCATGTTATCGGGTTAGTCGATGAATTTCAGGCCTGTGACGTCTTAGAATCCACTACTTTTGCAATAATTTTGATGGCCCATTATCAAACATCACTATTGGGTTGGCCATCATCACAACATGAAACAACTCCTTCAATCTAAAGCCATAGAAGGTGACAGTAAACTCAAATATGATGGTCACATTTATGGATAGTATCTATTTGTGCACGAGGAGGTACAGGTTTTATGGTTTCATAGCAGATATACATCACAAATATGCTCTGTTCGAATCTTGAGCAGCTATTATATTGATCAATTATGTACACTGAATGCTTAAAGCTCTCAAAAGTCATTTACTAAATTCTGTAAATAGCTTGACTTACTGTGGGTCCATATCTTCCTATTGTGAAGTACTCAACACAAGAGAATGAAGAAACAGTTGGGTTAATGATCAATGAAAGTGTAGCGCAGAAACCTCGTAACACTTCAATTGAAAGCAAGTACCATATTCTCTACTGACTTTTCACCTATGATCACCAAATTATTGAAATATACCGACTAAAGTTACTCGAGATCATGTTCAGAGATAGAAAGAGCATTTTTCACACTGCAAATTGACTTACCAGCTAATGACACTACAGTATGGGAAATGGAACAGGCTGTCAACCAGCTAAATACAAGCAAGTAGGACGCAAATCAATACCTGAATAAGTAGCTAGATCTCATATTTTGAAGGTAACAGCAGTACATTAGCTAGTTGGCCTTTATAGCTTCTTAAATAGAGATTTACCACATTGAATACTCTACATTGTAGGCCAACCACAGAAGTAACTCTTCGTTCTGGGCTGGACACCAATGTAATTCTGGGTTCTGGGCTGACCCATGAAGGAAGCTTACATTGGTGGACGCTTAAAAGGCCATCCACCAACGTAAGTCTACTTTCGCGGTCGACCACCAATCTACACTTTCGTCGGGGGTTTTCTTACATTGGGGGATGCGACAATTAT